GTTAGCTGCTAATGGTAGCCACCAGAGTGTATGCAGCTTCCGGTTTTGGTAACGCGTCACTCTCACTCCTTATTTGTTAACGTTTTGGGGTGTTTCTCAATCGCGAGTACGCTTGCTTGGTAGCACATGTCTGCCGAGCATCTTGCTTCAGAAGCGAGTCAAGAATACTTCCTGGCATTCGGAAAACGAAGTGTGGAACACGCTAGCAAGTGTGCAGGTGTGCGTCATATGAGAGGCCCCGCATTACATCTTCCGCCACAGATTTGGGGAAATTGGTCCGTGCGCAAAGCATTGTGGGGATTTTAAGACCGCGAAGTCTACTCATGTGCAGACTCGATATTTCTCCAAACGGAGTACGCCGGGCTCGGTAGATTTCCAAGTATACTGGAGATTGGAACAGCACTTCGGCGGCACTCGATGACGTAGTATGCTTGAAATAGTGGCTCTGAAGCAGCTTTACTCGCGATTGAGAAACACCCTTGGTGTGTATATAACTTTCCCTCGATTCCATTGGCTCTAGCGGTTATACAGATGGGGCATCTTATTTCAGACTCCAGCATACAGCTTCCTGCCTACTACCAGCCAGTTACCTGCCTAAGACCTGCCAAAGACCAGTATCTGGGAATGTTAAGCCCTCCCACTATTTTCCAAGAGGGCGTTGCCAGATTTTCAATTTCAGGATTTAACCAGGAGATGGCGCTATATATTAAATAACTATGGCCAAACTAAGACTTAGTTTTTCACAAGAGAAAATGCAGATATTATATAAAAAACTAAAGTTAAAATCTTGTTTTTAATGCCCCAAGAGCAATAAAAACACTTGTTAAAAAAATTGTGTGTGAGGCTTTCATAAATTGCATTTAGCTGACGCTTTTATCCAAAGCAACTTACTATTTAATAAATGATAAATGATTATTCATAACAAATATGAGTGATGTGTGATTATTATTCATGCTATATACTGATATAGGGCTAAGTAAGCAATCAATCCTGCAAATTAACCCTTAGTTGTTCAATATATTTATTCAGACAATGTGAGTAGAAATACAGAAATTCTGCTCCCACCCACCTAAGGCCAACGTTGCAATATTACAACATTTCCCTAAAAACTTACCAAAACGTAAACATTTTTAAAACTCTTTCATTTCTGCTCCAGAGCAGTTAAATTGGGATTTGATATGTGGGGGGGTTCTGTTAGAAGGTGCGACGGGGGAGGGGGGAGAGAGTTAGACGCTCGTGAATTGTCAACGGGGGGGGGGGCCTCTCTGCACGGAGGAGCTGCGGAGAAGAGACACACGTTCACTAAGCCGAATCACAGTGATCTGCTATTTTAAAGTAAATTCAACACATATCGACCCTAAATATAGCATACCTGTATATTAAGAACGAGAAAGTGTCAACATCGTTTTTTGTAAACATATGACAAATGTGCGAGGGTGATGACATCAGAGCATCGTCCTATGGGCTTAGCCCCGGACAGGTACAACAGGTATTCACTCAGAGGGTGAATACCTGAAAAACAGGCTCAGGGCTTAAGAGGTTAAAGAGATCCTATTATTCTTTTTGGGGTTTTCCCTTTCCTGTCTATAGGTTTTTGTATTTAAATGGTCTGCAAAGGCTAATATCCCTTTGTTTCTCTCCAAACACTCCCTCCCTGCCTGAAACGCCTTCATGGGACTCTTTCGTTTACACCTGTGACATAATGACATCACTATGTAACACGTGTGCTTCTATTGGCTACCACTGCTCCCCAATGTACGTGATATGCTAAGGGGCGGGACATTCCAGACACCTCTCAAAGCGGTTGACCAATCACAACAGAGCTGGCCAACTACCCAATCAGAGCAGACTGCTCTCTGGTTTCAGACAGAGGGTGAAAAGAGGTGCTGCAGCACAGGCAGTATGAGGAAAATAAAGAGCTTTTTGAACATTAAAGCAACTTTCTCAGTGAGGTACTCAGATGTTTGGTACTCCAACTTCTGACGATTGTCAACGGGGGGGGGGGGTGGCGTCAGTGGAGTACAGCGCTTCGCGATCGTCAAGGGGGGGGGGGGGGGGTGGGGTGGAGTACAGCGCTTCGCGATTGTCAACGGGGGGGGGGGGGTGGTAGTAGAGTACAGAGCTTCGTGACCGCGGAGCGTGTGAACGTTGTTGTACGCATTTCAGATCGTTGCCGCGCATGCGTACCTGCGTACCAGTTATGTGCACCCCTGATTATACATGTACTACTGTATGTCCTCTTTAAAGTTTACTTTTACATTTGGTATTGTAAATATCTTCTTCTGCTCAGTAGAAGTTGATCGCAGCCTATTAAATCTATACTTTGAACAAGATGAAGTGATATAATGGCTAGATGTTTGATGTTTTTATAACTTATAGAGAAATTGCTGACCCTGGCATGTCATAAAAGTTAATCAACAAAGATTTTTCACAATAAAAATCTTGTATGTGACCATTCAAAATAAATCTGTCATGTATCGCCTTCCTGCAGATATGGACCATTTCAGCCAGATGGTGATAAGTGAAGGAGGGTGGGGGTATTGATAGCCATAAACAGGCTATTGTGATTCAACGGAGTCATCACATTTACATTCTCATCACGTTTGCTCCATATCAACCATCATCACACACTTTTTCATTCTCACATTCATCGGTGTGAGAGGACTCTGCACTGAGTGAAGAGCAAGTGAGTAAAGTCCTAAGTCCTAACATTTTCATGTTGGAAAATGTAAGTACACAACTTAACAAAATATATAGCCTAAGTCTCTCTTGTTTGAATGCAATTTTATATGAAGAAGTTACAAATGAATCCTTGATCTTGTTGTTTTAAGGCATTTTAATAAGAAAATATGCAAATGATATGTTGATCTAGTAATTTTAAGGCACTTTACTGCGAAAAGTTTCACATTATACCTTGGTCTAGTGGTTTTAAGGCATTTTAATAAGACAAAAAACAAATTATACCATAGTCTTGTTGTTTTGAGGCCTATTAATATGAAAAAGTTACAAATGATACCTTGGTCCTGTCCTTTAAGGCATTTTAATACAAAATATTTACAAATGATAACTTCATTTTCCATTTAAGGCATTTGAATACAGAAAACGTACTATACCTATTATACCTGGTCGTTTTCAGGCATTATATATGGAAACGTTACATTTAAACCTATAGTCCTTTAAAGGCATTTGAATACAAAACAAATTGAAATTATACATTTAAGTAGGATCTTCAATGCAAGATTGTAGTTAATTGTGGTGAAGTTTTTCATTAGACTTTTCTCCACTGCATTTCATTTATGTCCTGCTTGATGAATGGCTTGTGGAAGGACCTGGGTCCCATTCCTGTTAAGTCATGAAGATTTAGATAAAGAGAGCACATTTCTTACGTCTGCTTTTCTGTCTGATTATTGCTGACCTCAGAGCACCTTTTCAACACACTCGGCAGAACGGAGCACAGAGTGGGCAGATGAGGATGAGGAAAAGAACAATACAGGAGGAAAAAAAGTGCTGATCTCTCTCTATCTCTGTCTCCCCCTTCCTTTTCTCCCTCCCTCTCATGCTGACTGTTTCTGTACAGAAAACTCACTCCCACGCTATTCTGCCTGGCCTATTTATCACATTGATCAGTTTATAAAGAAGTTGGATGTACACAGGAGGCTCCCTAAAAATGTGCCTACGAGAAAGAATCGTGATTTCTTTGCTCCTTCTGAAAGATACGCTCATGCTACTCATAGGTTTAGTCTCGCTGACATGGTCATTTTACCCACTTGGCCTTGTGACATCTAATCGCCTTGCATTACAACACAATTCCTGATGTTCCTGTGTGAGATACAGAGATCATACAATATGGGCAATTGCCTTAATATCATGTTAGTGGAATAAAACTGCTTAAAACTCAGCGGAAATAATTAGTGGATTAATGTCATTTTATGATTCATAATATGAATCATTTTTAGTTGATTTTATTAAGCAAAATTGCAAAACTGATGCGATTTTGAATTTCAATCAGTGCTTTTCTTCAGCCCACTATTGGTGCAGTGATGATGTTTTTTTAGACCGATTCGGAAGTTGGCATCGCAAGGGCTCCCTTCAATGGGATTTTTCCATTGGATTTTAGAATATTGCAGAAAATAAAACTGCAACAGTGCATGGCCTTTACCCTTTGGACTGCAGCGTGTTTTCAGACAATGGATCTGCTGCACAAACACGTTGCTTCTTATTGCTACAATCACCAGTCCTGTAAGAACGTGCTGGTCCTAAGCATACTGACCTCAGGAGTCTGTAACAATGTTTCATGATGTCACTACTCCAGCCTTCACGTAGGAATTTCATATGGTCATGTTATTGTCCTATCTAACATACCTTTGCTGTTTAATGTGGAGAACAAAAGGCTGCAGCGATGACTGTAAAGATGCATTGGTTAACTGACTAAAAAGTCTAAAACAAAAGAATGCATTCATTAGACTATGCACCATTGTGTGCAACAACACTTATGTGTAGTCTGTTCCTGGCTAATATTATTACTAGTACTGGATGCTACTTCTTAGTCCATCCTTTTCCGAAACACGAATCTGTATCTATGTGCAGTATATCATTTTACTACAGTAGCCTACCTGCTACCACACTTCCTTCAAAAATGTTACTAAATGTTACAATCTTACTTGAATGTGTACTTCTGTAAATTGTAATATTTTAAATATTAAAATAGAGACGGGAAAGAAAATAGAAAACTATCTAAACTTTGCTGTTAAAATGTAAACTCTCCCTCTGTTGGACGAATAAAGGAATTATGATTCTGTTTAAAATGCATGGGAAATATCCTATTACCTAAATGGTGATGTAAAGCAACATCAACACTCCTGGCTGCCTGCAATGTGTGTTTGTGTGCACTTTAAACACTGTGTTTAATCGAGTTTCTGGTGTTTTTTTGCATCTCTTTGCCTGAAAAAAAACGAAATAAAGCATTTTCTCGAAGAGATAACAATGCCAGGATCACCTACCGCACAGCAGCTGCATCCAGGCGCAGGTCTTGTAAACAGTGCAGGTGTTGCAGAAGAAGAAGAGCATCATGCAGGCGATGCAGCTGAGGGTCAGCACCATGGACAGCAGCACGAACACCGAGGCCGCCTTGAAGGCTCCGGACGGGATGGAGCTGAAGTCGGAGAAGCTGCCCACGCAGGTGAACTCCCGGTTGGGCGACGGCCCGGTGCCCACGCAGTAGTGGAAGAGACCGAAGTAGCCGGCCTGCGGCGTGTTGACGCTGTCTCCGATCCAGTAGGGCTGGATGAACACCACCACGTTGACGATGGCGAAGCAGATGGTGAAGATGGCCCACAGCACCCCGATGGCCCGGGAGTTGCGCATGTAATTGTCATGGTAGATCTTGGAGGCTTCTTGGGAAGGCAACATGTTTGGGTTTTGTATCTCTCTTTCCACCCCCTCGTAGAAGAAAACAACTCTATATCAAATGTGCTTAAATTTCCCCCACTTTGGCTATTGTTAAAGGCTATTAAGTGGGCCTACATAACCACACGGTAGAAAAATGTAACCTGCAAATGTGTGTGTGATATCACAAGGCTGAACATGGTAAAACTGAATGAGGGGGAAATGCTACATTGGAGCAGTAGAAAAAAATCATAGCCATACCTACACCACTATAATGAATAATTTACCAAGACCAGTGATTCAACATTGCTGTCTAAGGCTCGCTTTTTTGGGGTTACACCATGAAGATTGAAAAAAATCCATATAAACAGGATTTTTCCCCTGTAATTTCACAGTGGAGGTGGGTTAAAGCTGGGTTTCATCCTCATCCATCAGTGCGGAGCTTCCTTCGGGATGTCCTTTTATTACCGATCCGTGAGAGGGGGTGCGTCTCGGTGCCGTTCTTGCGCCAGCGGTGGAGCCCGTTTTTACCTTCCGAGGCATCCGTGGGGGGGTGCTCACCCTTTTCCCCTCCGGTAGCCTTCAGTGTCCACGCGAAAAATGAAAAAAAAAAAATAAAACAGGTTTCAACACGAGCCCTCTGTCAAATCTCAACAGTCCTTTCTCGTAAATCCGACATCCTCCACCGCCTCGACTCCATTATCATCATGTTTTTGTCGTAGCCTTTATCCAGTATGTCTCCTCTCCCTCTCTCCCCCCTCTCTCTCTTTCTCCGTCCTCCTCCTCCCGTTTCTCTGCGCGCACCCCCCGGAAGATGCTGATGTTGTACTGATGACAGCGATGGAGCGCGTTCTCGTATACGCGGGCGCAGCACCAGGAGTACAGGGGGAAATTTGTATTAAAAAGCGCGTGCCCGTGCCTGTTCACCTTCAATTTGAAATGAGATCAGCGAATATTCCCTCACGTTTGGATGATCAATAAGTGTTTCCTAAGAAGAGGTGGCATTACAAATCATGGAGCCATATGTAGGAAGTTCTTTTTGAATCTTCAAGTCTTGTTAGTTTTAGTTTTGTTATTAGCAGTGGTGGAAGAAGTAGGCTACTCAGATCCATTACTTAAAGGGCACCTATCATGCAAAATGCACTTTTGTACGTCTTTTATACATGAATATGTGTCCCCGGTGTTCCAGGGAACTCACCAAGTGTCAGAAAACACAACCCTCTCTATTTTCCTCCATACCCAAATCTCTAAAAAAGGGGCTGCAACGGATCTGATAAAAACTGATCCAGATTTGAACACTGTCCTGACGTCAGGACGGTGGCGCTACGGCTATTGGGCCAACTCTCCACCTATCAGGGGAATGTGGGGTTGGGCCACAGCCGGCCATTGCCGCTCGAAAACGCTGGAGACGCTGTAGTACATATGCCAGGCCTGTAAGTGGCGCTGTAGTCTGCCACAAAAGCAGCGAAGAAGACTTCCCGTGCATGGTTACCATGGTTACCCTTCTGTTTATTCTCCGCTGTGGCTTTTTTTCTCCCTCCCTGAGGCAAGCGTTTGCTCCCGCTGCTTTAATTCAATGCAATCCCTCCCCGTCGAGGCAAGCACTGTAATTCTCTCCGGTTAGTCCACCAGCAGATGACAAACACCCACCTCTCCGCCTCTTCCAAGGAACGAGGGGACCGTGCGGCAGAGTTTCAGTTAGGTTTTCTTTCGCCGGTCAAGATGTCCGTTAAAGTTTAAATCTTCCGGACAAAATTAGAAAAGTGCCGGTCAAAGGTCTTCTTTATTGAGCTTTAAAACAAATGAATCACGACTCTATATAATAAAACACGGAGGACGGAGATCTATTTTTCTCCCCCTCTTCTGACTTGATCAGAGCGCGCTCCCCTCTCCTGCAGGGGGGCGTGGTCAGCTGCAGCTCACAGAATCAGCCCCCTGCAAAAACAGGGCTGGAGAAAAGCAAATAGAGCTAAATGAGGCATGGCTAAAATGCATGATCTGTTTGGTATTTTGAAAACAGAAACGTATAAATATACCTTATATAGGTATGGCCCTACAATATATCATTTAAATATAGCATGATAGGTGTCCTTTAAATTAAGCAAATACATTGTAAAAATACTCTTTCAAAATCTAAGTAAAACTACAAAAGTATTGGCAAGTACCAAAAGTACTTGAATTGCGTTATGGCTAATTTAAGAATACTGTAAATGAAACGACTGGATTATGGTTATTTATGCATTCATATCGCATACTTTTCATGCTGTTACTGGATGTCTAACAGCATCCATGTCTTTGCCTCTAATTATATGTGAACGTGTGTTTATAAATTGATTTATATTCTATATTATCTCATAATATAAATCTTTAAAGTAATTTGTAACACTGTGAGATAAATGTATTGGAGAAAAAAGTATGGTTCCAAAAGGTAGTAAAGTAGAAGTATAAAGTTGAAATACTCAGGAAAAGTGCCAGTACCTCAACATTGTACTTAAATTCAGTACTCGAGTAAATGGACTTTAATATATTCCACCACTGGTTATAAGGTGCAATGATGCTAATACTGTTGTAATACTTTGACTAAACTTTGAGTGACTCTATTAGGCTTCGGTAATAACAGATTACATGAACCGGGATTAGAAAATCAAGATGCAGAACATCTATAACTGTATTCCCTTACAGTTAAATAAAAGACATCAAATTCCTGTTATTTCTCTAAAACGTGGGGATTACAAGCAGGATTATAATATTACAACAAATATAAAAGGAGTTTATAGTGTTTGTTGTAAAAGGATGCCTACTGCCTGAATCTGCTTTATGGTTTTCACTTTCTTTATTCAGTATGTGAACCTATATGTGTTCATAAAATAGTGTGTGTGAGCTTAACTGTGTGTATTAAACTAAAACGGAGCATTTTCTGTCAGCTCAGATTCTATTTCTGCTTTTTTAAACTGGAGTATGTGCTCTTGTGTTTCAGTGTTGGTGTATAGAGTACTGCCTGAATATGCTTCATGACAGGCAGATTGTCCTATGAATACAATCCTATCCTAAATATCTTAGTTTCTTATTTTCTAATGTCATATTATTCTGGTGTTCTACATAACACACTTAAAACATCTCTTGGATTTGTCTTTTCTCTCTTTTTTATTTGCATTGCTTTTGATATTGAAGCAATGGAAAAGTAAATTGAAATCTTGTGAAAACGTTGAAGCTTTTCCTTTTTAATCCATCACGTCAGTCTATATGTATTTTTTAATTGCTGTTCCACATTATAAACATCCCCCTTATTAGATCCTTGTATCGTTGAACATTATCCACAAAGTTATTTAAAGAGCTCTTTAGGTGAAAAACTATAAGCAGCAGGGAGGAGGACCTTTGAGAGGCTTGAGAGTTTCTTAAGCATAGGAGAACATGGCAGACAAACAAAGAGGCAGGAGACAAATCCCATATCTTTCAATGAGCAGGGTTGTCTGGGAGACTTCAACACTGCGTTTACTTTTTTAGTTAATTATTTGAGAAAGTGAAGTGTTTTACATAGATGGTGCAAGCTCAGAACTACATGTTACTACTAGGTTATGTTTAGGGAACACAAGTACTTGGTTGGGTTGAGGAACCATCATGGTTAAGTATTATTAAACATTGACTCACTGTTCCACATAAATAAACAGTGTGTTGCCTGATAGTCAGGTGTTTAGTTTGACCACCCCATGGATGTAGTAAGGAAGGAGGAACTGTACACAGCTTTGGAGTAGGGGGCTTCTTCATTCCTATAAAAGTTGCTCAGTGGCGCATTAAACCCAACTGACAGACATCTCTTTCCCAATGTAAGTCAATAATGGCATCCATGATGACTGACTAAGAAGTTGTAATACCACCGTTTGGCCAATACGACAATTGGCTTTGTCACCTGGGGGCTTGATCCACACCCCTAAGACTCTTTATACAATGTCACCTGTCTTTCTCCTTTACTCACGTCATAATTACTGCCATCAAAAGGGTGGCAAAACTGACACTACAGTGGTACGTGGAGGGTCATTATTTGACATGTAGGGCCACTGAACGACACAATATGGCAGTGAGAACGCCTTTGGAGGATACAGTAATCATTATGTTATGGGTGAACATTACAGAATATCTCCCTATGAGCATTAAACGACCTCCCTAGAGCAGATGGCATTACAGTATTGACTTCCTGTCTTCTGCATTCAGCAGACCTTTTAAAAATGTTTTCTTTAAGGCCAGATGTTGCCTTTACTATCGAAGCCTTCATTCTCTGTCCATTAAAATATCCGTTACTCACTCTGGGGAGAAACGCATCTGCCCTGGAGCTAGAACATCCAGGGAAAACTAGGCCAAGACGGTGGTCAGTGTGAGAGTGTGTGTGCTCCAGAGGTGGAACATATAGAGACTGTTGCGTAAGATGGGCCCAAACGTGTTCCTGAAGAAAGTATTTGACCCAACAAACAGCGGAGATCTCAGAGGAGCAAAAGAACATTCCCTTATGTAACTACATGCATGCTTGACAATTCCTATAGCGATCCGATTAATAATGCACGAGCAAATTTCTTTCTGTGGTACCTTCTGGCCCGCGCTTTTCTCTCCGAACACAAGTAGCACACCTGGACGCTGTCTAAACAAACCTGTATTTTTGCCCTCTCCTTTCACAGCGCTATGTTCCTCCATCCTGAGGCCTCCTGTCATCTGTGAGCAGCAGCAGGGGAGTTGACAAGCTGTGTGTGTGTGTGTGTGTGTGTGTGTGTGTGTGTGTGTGTGTGTGTGTGTGTGTGTGTGTGTGTGTGTGTGTGTGTGTGTGTGTGTGTGTGTGTGTGTGTGTGTGTGTGTGTGTGTGTTCTAGTCTTATTTTCACATGTTCACGTACCACCATAGTGTGTGGGGATGTGAGCATCTGCTAAAATTGGCAGTGAGAGCAAGAAGGTACAGTGTGGCTGCCAAAGTGAGGACATGTCAGTGGGAGGAAATAGACTTGTACACACTGAGGGGACGCCTCTTGAGGGATGAGAGGTGTTTTCAGAGACAGGAAATGGAGGGTTTGTGAATTGTATGTGTGAATATGTGCATGACTGCACTCGTGTGTGTTGACCTATTGAGTGGCAGATGATTTAAAGACATGATGTGTCCATGCGTTTGTCGAACTGTGCAAATGGGATGTTTTTCCTCTTGCTATTGTAGTATTTGAATTATAACAATACTGTATATAAGCCTTGAGTATGTCAGTTTGACACACATTATTTATTTTCATGTCAGCACATACTATAGTGTTTTTGTTCAACTGATCTTGTCTAAGCTCGCCATCTACTGGATAAAAAGTGAACTGCACGCATGTAATGGAAAATTAGCTTAAAGGGGCCCTATTGAAGTTTTGGGGGACTTTCCCTCTCCTGTAGTGTTATATAGGATGTTGTGCATGTACATGGTCTGCAAAGGCTAAAATCCCTGTGTTCCCTCCAGAGGGAGTTTCTCTCCCACACACTTCCCCCCCCCCCCCCCTGCCTGAAATGCCTCCATTGGACTCCTTTGTTTACTTCCGTAAGATAGTGACATCACTATGTAACACTTGCTTTTCTATTGGTTAGCGCTCCAACACATTGTATGTAATAGAGTGGTTGACCAATCACAACAGAGCCGGCCAGCTACAGTAACCGATCAGAGCAGACTGGGCTCTGGTTTCAGACAGAGGGTGAAAAGAGGTGCTGCAGCACAGGCAGTATGAGAAAAATAAAGACTTTTTTGAACATTAAAGCATG